CCCCCCCCCCCCCCCCCCCCCAAATATATTTTTTTAATTTTTTATATATTATTTAATTATTTATTTTGATATTATTTATTTTGTCCACCTTTAAATTGATCTTAATTTATATATTTACGAGTTCTTTTAGTTGTAAATTTGTGATTTGAAAGTAAAATTGTTTTTAATTGACCTACAACTGGTCTATTTTTGTTGAACATTGTGATTAACTTATTTCAACTGAATTTTAGTAGTATAATTACCCTCTTCTTAAGTGTTTATTGGATAATTTTACAATTTTAATACAAAAATATAAAAAGATGTCAGGGTCAATTATAAAATAGATGTAATAAATCTTTCATTTTTGTAAGAGTTGTAATTAATTTTTTTTTTCTACATATAAGGCATATGTACCAACTTTTGATACTTTTCGATTTAACGAGCTTTTATTTATGAGATATGATGTATCATCTTATTTTTATTTTATATATCTTACGTGTGAATCGAGTCTAATTGACGGTTGATTTCAACATGACCATTTGATAAATAGTAGTATTGTTTGATAATGACATTTTTTATTTGCACTTTATTTTTTGACATTAAGGCTTTTTATACGATTTTTTTGTAAACGGTTTAAATTTTAATGGAGTTTAGATTTATGATTTATACTATTTTATTAACATATTAAAAGTAGTTTGTGCCTAAAGACACAGAAATGAAGATACCAAAGAGAGAGAGGGGGGAAAGGTAAAGTTTAACGTGAATAGTTTTGAGAAGGATGCTAATAACCGTTGAATGATCTATTTGAGATCTTCAGATAGATTTATTAAAGTCTATACTATTTTATATCTATCTATAATATAAAATATGACAGACTTCAATAAATTTATCCGACGGTCTCAAATAGACTCATCCAATAGCTATCAATATTTTTTTCAAAATTATTCATATTGCACCGTGTTTTCAGGCACGAGTTATCCCTAACAATAATATAAACCTACATGGTTAATTTTAATAAGTTTATCCGATTGTCTCAAATAAACTTATTCAACGGTCATTAACATCTCTCTCAAAATCATTTATATTGAATTTTCCCCTTCCTAAATCTATCATTTTTTACTTACGTTGTACTGTGTCTTCAAATATAAATTACCTTTGATTATAGATATAAAATATAGGGTCATCTTTATTAGAACCCAAAAATCATTGATCTCATTATGCTGGAGCCGAACCTAATTAAACTGTCCACCCTTAAAAACATTTCTGGCTCTGGCCCATGTATCATAGACAATGTTTAATGGTTGGGTTTGGTTTTTTGAAGCTAATATCTTTTATTAACTAGTTAATTGGTAAGAAAATTATTATTAAATTCGAGACACGTTCAAATTAAAAGGACCTTATCCAAACTGGTAATGGACCGTTTCAGAAGATCCAGCCGGCAAAGGTGGACACTTATATTCAAAAACCGCGGCCCCCGGAGAGAGAAAAGTGCACACGCCATCCTCCGAAAAAGCTCCGAATTGCACTACTGGATGAAAGTAACACACATCAGCATCATCGTATTAAGTACCTTTTTTCATATTATTTAGCTTTTGCCCACTATATTTCTTCCATGTAGGTTTATGCCCCCCAAAAGTTTATGTACATGTACGTTGAGAACTCTATCTATAGGTTCATGTAATCGGATTGAGAGTACTAGATATGTCGAAAGAACTATCCAAGATCTTAGGATTAGATTCTTTGTCACTTGGTGAGTATAGTTGTTGATGTAATGGTAAGATTGGTTTAAATGAACATGAATATTAGAATTACAAAGACATATTTTCAATATGTGGGAGTGGTGTCGATTCATTTAACCATTTTCAAATGTCAAAGTAACAATAGTCCAATCAATTTTTAATTAGCTACTTTTCTATGTTCATATGAATTTTAAGGTTTTCAAATATGTTTCTCTAAGAAAGGAGGAGGGGGGGGGGTTTGAATGTGTGGAGAGGAATGTTAACCTAGTGAAATCCTATTATTTTTTAGAGTAAGTCTGTCAATCTTATCGGATGAAGTTGGTTTGTGTTGTATTTTAATGGATTCATATCAAAAAACACACCATTAATACTTGTTTCGTTTATTAGTTTGTGTTTAACGAATCTAGTTATATTGAATTTATGTTGTGTCTAAATCGTATATAACTGGTATATAAACAAGTTATATCGTATATTTGTTTTGATTGACTTCACTCATTATCTGATTCATTTATTAATCGTATCGTGTCAAATTTATTTGTTTATAAACAAGTATCTTAAAAAAGACTAAAACTCTTTATTTCATGTTGTATTAATGGACCGTGTCATGTTTTGACACTCCTTTTTAAGGTGAGGTGGTTGAAAATTTTGATAGAAGAAAAGAAATGGGGGGAGAAACGAAATACTTGAAAGATGAGAGTGTATTTCTCAAAAGATTCCCCACTAGAAGAGCTCCATATCTCTGACTAGGAACCAAGCAAAAAACAAAGGAAAGGATAAGATCACAGGCCTGCCTCTCTCTCTTTCTCTCTCACAGACACCACAAATGCGACAGACACGTCATTCCTGAAACGAAGGTCCGTGGATAAGGACCATCCACCATCCCCATCCTACCCTGACGATGACACCACACAACACCTCATCACTCCCTTTTATTCTATTTATATTTCCAGAGCCGTCTCTTATGAACAACAACTTCTTCTATACCCATTCGCATTCCCAAGGCCTCAACATATCTATATTGTTGACTTCTGAAATAACCATTACTAAAACGAGGGAAGTTTCATTCAATTTGCTCTACCCATTTCGTTTAATATAGCGTTGAAATCAAAGCCCTTTGATTTCTGCTTCGTTGCTCATTCAGATTTCACACCACCTATATCTATATATACAGAAAGATTGGTGAAATAGATTCCTTGTGTGTTCTGGGTAAATTTGAAATCAAGAGATCTTTATTTGTGAGAGCTGAGATTACTGGAAAGAATGGCGGCTTCTGTTGGGATGATTGGTGGTGTTGGTCCATGTGGGTCGTCTTCTTCTTCTTCTTGGTCTCAATTTAAGAATGTGAAGAAGAACAAGAGGGCAATGAGAGATGGTGGGTTCAGGGTTTGTTGTGTTTCTTCTTCGACTGCGACCGATCCCTACAAAACTCTTAGGATTCAACCTGAAGCTTCTGAATCTGAGGTGAAGAAAGCGTTCAGACAACTTGCTTTGCAGGTTTAATTTCTTCCTTCTGTTTTGCAAAATTTTCTGCAGAAGAATGTCATATATGTAAATAAAATGTATTCTTCGTTGAATGTTTAGTGTCAAATTATCGTGTCATAGGGTTTGTTTTCAATAATGTTTAAGAGGGGTAATAAGATTTTGTTTTAATCTTCAGTTTTTGATCTTGTTCGACTATATATAGTTGTGCTTTGTCATTAAAACATCTTGCCTTTGATCAAATTTCAGTATCATCCGGACGTTTGCAGAGGAAGCAATTGTGGAATTCAGTTTCATCAAATTAACGAAGCTTATGATGTATGTTCTCTCTCTATCTCTCTCTGTTTGTGTGTGGGATTTTTAGAATGGGCTGATTATTGTGAAGTACTATACGAGTCGAGTCGAGTCGAATTTGACTAACTTGACTTGATTATCAGCCTTAATCACGGGCAATTGTAGAATTCGAATCACAATTTAACTTCTTACCATCCCCACCTTTACAGTTAGGCTAATGCACCAATTCATTTTCATTTTTCTCTTAATTTCTTATGATCCCTCTTTGGGTAATAAAGCTGAAAATTATGGAGATACGGACCCATTATATTTATATGGAAACATATTAAATTTTGATCTCATCTGAATATGTGATGGAGCTGCTATATCCGGAGGGAGTGTAACCATGGCCTCTCACTAGTGGATCACATTCTCTTGATCCACCAATGAGCTGCTTCAAATACCCTTGTTATCAAAATTGATTGGCTATATGAATTCAACTCAAGTGAGCCTTGTTCCAATTATTGGGATTCTGCTAATTTGTTTGGCCATGAAGGTCTTCATGAATCTGTCAGTCCGTCTTCTTAATCGAGTTATAAATGGTATACTGAAGTGAATGGTCGTTTTTACCTCTCTAATGATTGTTCATGAGGTTATAACTTGTATGTAGTTGAGGGTGCAATGTCATTGATTGATGATTTAGATCCTGTTAAGAAGGCATTAGAGGAAGGAAACTTAATTTATGTACAATACTTGTGAATTGCTGTTCTTCCTAGTCGAAGCAATCTGCTTCTTGATATGTTAATCTTGTATGTGTGGATTAGTGTTTGTCCAAAAATACAAGCCATTGTAAGATATTGCTGCATTGCGTATGGCGATCCAATTGATTTCTTAATGAGGAAACCTCTTCAATGGTCATGAGCTGTGTCCTGTTCTGCTTAGTACACACGTACTTTGTTTATCTAACAAACAAGTTTCTTATTTATTCACATTCTTGTTGGGCTTAAATGCATAATTTATGTTACTAGACGCTAATAATTTTGTGTTTATGATGATGATGTGCAGGTTGTGATGAGTAACTTGAGAGGAGAAACACCAGCATCAGCAAGGGATATGTACCAGACATACGATGCAGGAGAAGATGAATCAATGAGAGGGATGAACGACCCCGATTGGGACCTTTGGGAAGAATGGATGGGATGGGAAGGAGCAGGAATCCGCGACTACTCGTCTCACATTAATCCTTATATTTAGAAGAATCATCGATTAATGTTCTGTTCCGTTCAACCCACATCTCTAATGATAGATGGTTGGTGTTGATGTGTTATGTATATAATGAAGTGGAAGCTAAATTGCTGTTCCTCTGTGCATATAGCCTAAGAATATGGAATTGTGATCTGGGGTTTACCCCTTTGTACTTACTAATCGTGTTAATAAAAGAAAAATTTTTACTTTGAGCAACAATTTGCAGGGTGCTGTCACTAGTTTTGCTAAGAAGCAAAGGAGGTCAATTTTCTATGTTGAATTAGCTATATTCATTTAACAAGGTTGTAGACGAAATTTGGAAAATAAGAAAGAGCCAAGTGTTAGTTTGTTAATTTGAACTATCGATTTTGGTTAATATACGGGTGAATTTTGCCCATTAAAAAAATTGAACAATATTATTGAGACTTAATGTACTGTTGTTATTGAATAATAATGAGTCTTAAAATTGCATGAGGTCATCTGATGAATAATGTATTAAGTTTTCAAAATTAAAAGAGCGATTTTTTTAATATATATTTTTTAACTTTTTTATTAAATAATTAATAAATAAGAATTTAAGTAGAATTTATTATATACAAATGATTCTTAATTAGTTCATCATTGTATTGTGCTTTATTAAAGAGAATAAATTAAAAAAAAATCTTAAAATATTATAATAATTATCTCAAGTAAAAATATGGGCCTTATTTTATCCATTTAGTTGGGTTTTTATTAGGTGGTGTGTAAAAAAGTGACCCGGTTAGAAATTCGGGTCAGACAATTTTGGTATTCGAACAATGAGTGAAGCCCACATGGGCCACATCTAACTAGATTGAGCTTGCAACGATATTTCTTGAATTGTATAATCAATGAACCGAAACTGAAACTGAATGATTGTTCTGAAACCGTGACGTCAGCTTCGCCACCTTCCTTTACTTAACAGAAAACAACCACATGCTCTCTCCCTATCTCCCGCGTCTGGGTCGAAGGCGTTTGTTCGATTCCGAATCCAAGATTCAGACTTTCTTCAATTTCCATGGAAATATAATCATACGTACAAATTTGTATACCTTCAATCAGAGCTCTTCATTTGATTCGCAGATCCCGCCGTTGTCCGGATGTCAATACGACGGTGACGATTCGACTACTGCTGAGCGAAACCCTAAATTCTTCGTTTGAGGTGAGTCTAAAGTTTCTTATTCGTATATAATCAAGTCTGTATATACATATGTACGATTGATAACTGGAGTCTAAAGATAACCTCAGTGTACTAGTATTGGATCACTAAATTTCATACTTGGTGTTGAATTTCGCATAAAGCTTTTAGTTATTCAATCCATGAGACTTGGTAATTTGTCATTCTAATCATTATGATCATTACTGTTGACAACATCAATAACAAGGATTTTGTTTCTTGATTGGAAGAAATAAATGTTAGTGGGAGTGAAATGGGTTAGTGATGATGAAGGTGGAGAGGGGTGTTTGTTCTTTGTCTTTCTTTGACTAGATCACCTCTTTCTTCCTTCTTCTCACTCTCCCTCCGTTTATCTTTTTCTTGCTCTGTGGTCTGGCATGCGTAAATCAGCTGGAATGTAACCACTCTGTGAGTACCTTAGTGTTGATATTTGCATAATGGTTGTCCATTCTTAGGAAGGCTTAAATTGCCAATTTGGACCTTGAAACTAGCATGTTTTGGCCTTTAAATTCGTAGGAGGGTTATCATAGTAAGGTGTCCTAATGTCTTTACTTGTGTTACCAACTAATACCCAGCAACACAAACATGTCATACAAGGTTCCTGGATGAGGGCTAATTTTGCCAGATTTTCCATGAAATAGCCCTGTGCTGCTTTTGTCAACTCTTCTGCCAACTCACTTCTTTCAATTTTCTTGCACCACGCAAAGCTCTATTTGGATGGCGGACCTCAAAGAACGCCTGCTACGACCAAGACCTGCTTCTGCTGTAAATCTCAGAGATCCATCCTATAGGCCATCTGCCTCTGGGCATCAACATTTTCATGGTGTGGATGTCCTAGGCTTGAAAAAGCGTGGCCAAGGCCTTCGCTCGTGGATTCGTGTTGATGCTGCGGGTAACTCCCAGGTCATTGAGGTTGACAAATTTACTGTGATGCGTCGTTGTGACCTTCCTGCTCGTGATCTACGCTTACTCGACCCATTGTTTGTCTACCCCTCGACAATTCTTGGCAGAGAGAAGGCCATTGTTGTCAATCTGGAGCAGATTCGATGTATTATTACTGCTGATGAGGTTCTGCTTTTGAATTCTCTTGATAGCTGTGTGTTGCAGTATGTGGTGGAGCTACAACGACGTCTGATCACTGCTGGGGTTGGTGAAGGTTGGCAGTCAGAAGGTGCCAACTTGAGCTTAAGGATGGGAAATAGGAATTTTGACAATATGTTTGGGAACACATCACCTGATTACTTGCCCTTTGAGTTCAGGGCTCTTGAAGTTGCTCTGGAGGCTGCTTGTACCTTTCTGGATTCTCAGGTGCGTACTGGGAAAATTTTTTGGTTTGTAGGCTACCCCGCATTTAACCGTTGTACTCTGTCAATTGCTGAAATGACTACAACCCTAGTGAACATGAATGCTTCATACTGTGGTCTTTGTCGCAGCCTTCTAATTATCTGCCTGCATTTTGTAGTCATTGAGTTATTGCAGACATGGCATGAGCTAGATTAGACCCGGGCATGTAATATAATCACCAACATGTTCGAACACTAAAAAGTGAATTACAATCTAATTTGGCCATCACATGCTTCGACTTTAATATAACATTGAGATGAACATGGACTGACAAGTAGGATCTGTGATTTCCGGATCAAATGCAAAAAGTACTAAGAGAGACATAAGGTGGAAAAGGGTGAAGGGGAAGTTGAGGTAGGTGATGATTCTGGTTCCTGGGGAGGAGCAGAACAGAGAAATGAGGGGGTTTGTTATCTTGGTTTTATGTTTTACTTGTTGCGTTACAGAGAATATATGCCAATTGAGCATATAAAGAATAAGTTGAACAATACATGGACGTTTCAACCCCCCTCCTTCCTTCTGCCCGGGGTTTAAATGAAAGAAACAAAAAGGGAAGTAGCTTGATTTTGTCAGTGAATGCATGTCATTTAAACTGAAAGGAATTCAAGAATTATGGTTGATTAGGGAAATTTTTTGTTAAATTTGATCTTAATGTGAGGGGGCCATACAAAAACAAATCCCAATAGTTATTGGGTTGTCCTTGGCTTAGGCATATGTGGGAAAGGGAATGCAATTGGTGCTCCCATATGTTCTTTGTTCCAATGAGGCTGAGAATAAAAAGATGTTGAGAAAAGATATTTTCGCATGCAAGACAAGTCTGAAACAACAAACAGAATTTTTAAGCTTGAAACCAGCTTCTAGAAGAGGTTTTATTTTCTGAAACTTCTTTGATTATAATTCCTTTCAAGAATTGAGTGGCTGGGGAGTTAGGAGTTTGTTCCATTCATTTGATGAATAATTTTTTGGCCTTTTTTTTGGCTCTTGTTTGGTTCTTTAACATTTTTCTTCTTTCCTCTCATTTGAAAGGAGAAAACTTCTCGAAATGAAAGGAGGCAACAGAATAACGAGACTGCAGTTAATCCTTCAGTTTCTATTTGTTGTGATGGTAAAATATGATTTGTGAAGTATTGGGTGACGATAGAATGTTTCAAAGTGTTTAGCAAGTTTTTGAATTTTCTCTTGTCAGTCAGGATTACAGAAACATTTATTCATCTCTTCGGAGAGGGGCCATATTGCATATGCATATCATGAAATATAAGTTGTGTAATGAACATGCAGGCAACCATCATGTTTTTGTATGCCCTGCTGCTTGTTACGTGTTAATCTAATCCTGTCAAACAATAAACATAGAACTCAATCTGTGTGAAGAATTGGTTCATTTAAAAGTTCATACATTGGTTTATGGTACCTCAATGCCAAATTTCAATTATAGGTGAGAATTTAGATGAATTACATTTATTAATCAGGCCGTCCAAATATGAGAAGGCACTATTATATGGAAATTCTGTCCATTCTGTTTCTTTCTTCTTATACTTTCCCCGTGGTTTTGCTAGTGATGATATTATGTTTTGCTTATTGCATAATCTTCAGGCGGCAGAATTAGAAATTGAAGCGTATCCATTGCTAGATGAACTTACATCAAAAATCAGCACCTTAAAGTTGGAGGGTGTTCGTCGATTGAAAAGCAGACTTGTTGCGCTGACTCGGAGAGTTCAAAAAGTATTGTATTTTGCTACTTGTTTTCACTGAATTATGCAGGCGCATAGTCTCCAACTTTGATGTCTTTGCTTTATTTTGGTCTGTTGGTGTATGAAGGTTAGGGATGAGATAGAGCAGCTAATGGATGACGATGGAGATATGGCTGAAATGTATCTTACGGAGAAGAAAAGACGGATGGAGTCATCACCTTATGGTGATCAGTCTGGGATGGGATACAGTTCTGCTCCAGTTTCTCCTGTATCTTCACCCCCAGATGGCCGGAAGCTTGAGAGAAATTTGAGCATTGCAAGGAGCAGGCATGATAGCATGAGAAGTACGGAAAGCGTTGCAGAAAGTATAGAAGAGCTGGAGATGTTGTTGGAGGCTTACTTTGTTGTCATTGACAGCACTCTTAACAAGCTGACATCGGTATTGTACTATGCCTATTACATTTGGCCGTTTGTCTTCATATATTGCTTGAGGGTGGACATGGTTTATTAATTGGTTTCTTTCTTTCATTTCAGTTAAAAGAGTACATTGATGATACAGAAGACTTCATCAACATCCAGCTGGTATGTATCTTTTTTATTTGCATCAATTTAAAGTTTAATGACCTTTATTCAGCTAATATTCATAAATTTTATACATCCATCCATTTGTGCTTGCCTCAAAGGTGTATTCTTTTTAAATTGAAAATGGGTCTGCTAGAACTTCACAGTTCAATGCTGTGTGTCTGGCTCATTCCACATTAGGTGCATCATAAATGAAAAACATACCATAAAAAGACATTGCAAGCACTATGATCTAGTATTACAACTGAAAAAGAATGCAAGTTTTGATAGTTCATTGAAAATTTCAATTTTGACAGTTAATTTAAAATTTTGGCTTGCAGGATAATGTGCGAAACCAGCTTATACAATTTGAGTTGTTACTCACAACTGCTACATTTGTTGTTGCCATCTTTGGGGTGGTAGCAGGGATATTTGGCATGAACTTTGCAATACCGATGTTCGATTACCCAGGTGCGTTCAAATGGGTCCTAGTAATCACAGGTATGACGGGGGTTGTCATATTCTGTTCATTTATGTGGTTTTTCAAGTATAGAAGAGTGATGCCCCTGTAGATGATGAAGAAAAAGCAGCGCTGCTGCGGAAGGAAATTGCAAGAATTGAAGAAGCCTATGAATTCAAGGCTCATTGTCTACGTTGTTTAAGAAATGAAACTGAAGAATACAAGGGTTAGTGTTTACATTATTTATGTATGCACTCCATAAACAAAGACGAAATATAGAAAAGGAAAGAGTATTATACTACTTGGATCAAATTTACCAACCAAACCTAATGTTATCATTGAATCAGCAATGGTTCCTAATATTTGGTGGGATTTGCCATCAATTCAACGGTAACATTAAATTGATCCTTATTAAAAATGAAAAAACCAGTTTTCAGAGCGCTGAGAGGTGCTAATGACAAATGATTTCGGACACCCTTAATCAAAATGAACGTTTTAAAATTTCATTGTTTTAAAATCAAATTATATAGAAGAATGCGTATGCACTTGGCGTAAGAAAATTTTATTGTGAGAAGTCCGAAAAAGAGCGCAATAAAACTCTCAAAAGAGAAGGGCATAAGAAATCAATGGGCCTGTTTGGTTTACATCTCAAAAAACAGTATCTGAAAATTATTTTTGAGAAGAGTTTTAAGAAAGTGTTTTAAAAAATTTTAAATTGCAAAATTTGTTTGGTTATATATTTTTTAAAATAGTTTTAAAGAATTGTTTGGAAATTGATCCATAAAACTAATTTTTAACTTATCATTTATGATAAACAAAAAAAAAAAAAAAACTTATCACTCCAACAATCACGTTCATCCAGCAACCATCTCTCCCTACACTAGCAAAACAAACACACACACACAGCCATACCACATCGTGCACACACACGAAACCCACACACTCACATACGTCACACAATACATATGTATATATATATACACATACACAGGTTTGTGTATATATACAAATCTGTATATACACAGCTCTGTTGTGCAAAGAGAGAGAGAGGAGATGAGTTGGAGAAGATGAACAACAGAGGTCACATTTTTAGAGAAGATGAACAGCTGACCCAATTTTTAGAGAAGATGAACAGTCGGTGGAGAAGATGAACAACTGGTTATATTTTTTGTCTCCAACGAATATCGAAGGGAAGATCTCATTAATTTAGAGTTGTGTGTTTCCCGTGTTTTTATTTTACTTTAGAAAATAATGAAAACACCATTTTATTGTTTTGTAAAATCATATCTCATTTTTTTAAAATTTTCAAAAAAATTGAGAATAAAAAACTAAATAAATAAGTTTTTCTTGCTTTTAGAGTTTTGAAAACAAAAAACTGTTTTTGAAAAT